AAATATTGTTTACTGCAATTAAATGCATATCAATTCAATAAATTTTAACATTAATTGTTGGTTTCAGTCCAGAAGTCAAGATAGGCCAAAATCCCCATTTTAAATGTTTAAAACTAGCTACTTTTCATGATGGGTTAATATTATGTTAGGTAAATGTTTATCAACTTAACAAATAGCAACATATGAAACTCATGTATTATGCAAAGAACCTGTGTTCAGCATTTCAACAGAGATGAATCTGAACACTAATTACCACAATCAGTACTTGACAGTTTTATTTGTGTGTTTTATGATCTTAAAATAGAGCACGCCATAGCTTGCGTAAAATCATAATATAAAAAACACACTTTCATCAGTGCACACAAACCATCACAAATCCAGTCTTGGGCAACTTTGGGTCCACCGCTAGATCCTCCTCTCAGATATTCTGTCCATACTGAATAGCCTTGTACTGAATGCCTGAAAGCTGTGTGTGTTTTGTCACAATTGTTCAGTTGGCTAACTCGAAGTGGAAATTGATCATTAGCCCCACGCTGATCTGAGGCCATCTTATCCAATCAAGTAGCCGCGTCATTGTGATCTCAACAGCAGATGGGTTTGAAGTGTGCAAGCTGATGATCTATTAGCGCTGCTGTTTATCTTGGTATGTCAGCCATAAAAAAAAGTCATGAGTCATTTCCTCCCCGCAGGTAATAAACACTCCTACGCCTTACTCATCAGCATGTACACAGAGTACGCACACATCTTCATTTAGCAGGAATCGTTTACAGTTTCCAGTAAGAGGGGACCGACGGTTAAAAAGGGGGAAAAGACAAGTTCTGGCAGGGCGTTTGATGGGAGGAAAAATGGGAGTGAGCGAGAGCATCTTCGTACGAAAGTAATTGTGAGCGCTGAATACAATGTGATTGACACTGTGCTGGAGGGCAGAGATTATCATTTGAGAGATGAGGAAAGGAATGGGCTTGGTTAAGAACTGAAAAAGCAAGCCCAGGCCTGATCTGACACTGCTACATAAGCTACAGGACAGACTGGAGATTTTCCATAAGCAAAGCTCCTTGTTAACTCACAATAGGTTCAATAGGCAGGGCTGATTATTCCATTGTGTACAGTGGCACAGGTAATTCAGCAGGGATAGTTCACACACACACTAATGAATTGGTAACAGGGTTGCATAATTTAGTCTAAATTCAGCTTTGGAAGGTTGAAATGCTGTTTTTTGTTATTGATAAACACACACACACAATCACACACACAAATTCTATCATCACTTTCTCACCCTCAAGCGGTTTCAAACCCGTATGACTTACTTTCTTCTATAGAACACTCATGGAGATGTTAGGCAGAATTTATCTGCTCTTTTCCATAGAATGAAAGTGAATGGGGACAGGTGCTGTGAGTAGGGTCGCATGCACCAGTTTTTTGAGTTAGAGAAGACATGACTGAAAGCAAAATAAAAACTTTTATTAATATAATTCTTTTATGGAAGTGTAAAATGAGTTAGTCTAATGCTTAAAGCGATACTTCACCCAAAATGAAAATTCTGTCATCATTTACTCACCCTCAAGGTGTTCCAAACTTGTATGAGTTTCTTTCTTCCGCTGAACACAAAAGAATATATTTTAAAGAATGTTGGCAACCAAACAGTTGTGAGTAACCATTGACTTCTATAGTGTGGAAAAAATACTATGGAAGTCTACGAGCAACTGTTTGGCTACCAACATTCTTCAAAATATCTTCTTTTGTGTTGAGTGGAAGAAAGAAACTCATACAGGTTTGGAACAAGTGGAGGGTGAGTATATGACAGAATTTTCATTTTTGGGTGAACTTTAAGCTGTGCAAGTGAACTTACATTCAAATCCTGCCTCATTTATGAAAATGTTCAGATTTATAAAAATGGTCTTTGATGCAGAAAAGTGCTTAGTGCCTCGTCAGGTTCTAAGCAGGCGTACGCACGTTTCCTTGTGGCAGAGAGTCAGAGTACTGCAGGAATTTGGAAATCTAAGCAAATCTCGTTGGAGGCGGAGATCTGAAACCATTTAGCTGTGCACAATTTCAAGATCATTTGTAATTTATAGATTTTACATCTGGAAGAGAGGCATGTTTTTTCTACATATATTAATTTTCCTGAATCACATGTATGCACATTTGAGAAATGATCTTATCCAATGTAGGACGGTTTCTCATTTTATGAATGAGACCCCTGGTATATACACCAGTACCATGTGTAAGATGTACAAGATTTATTTTTTTTTTTTTAAGAAATTACAACTTTTATCCAGCAAGGATGCAATAAATTGATCAAAAGTGACAGTAAAGACATTTATAATGTTACAAATGTTAAAATTTTTCTTTCCTATTCATCAGAGAAGCCTGAAAAAAAAAATGTATTGCAGTTTCCACAGAAATATTAAGCAGCACAACTTTTTTGTTTTTATGTGACACTGAAGACTGGTGTAATGGCTGCTTAAAATTCAGCCATCAAAGGATTCAATTACATTTTAATATGTATTAATATATTAAAGCACCATAAAATATTTTAATAAACAAAAGTTATTTTACATTGTTACAATATTTGTTTTACTGTATTTTTATCAAATAAATGCAGCCTTGCATGGTTAGCATAATAGATTTCTTTCAAAAACATTTAAAAATACGGAGCCCCACACATGACATGCAAGAAAAAATAAATAAATTGTGCGCACGATTTACTAATTCGTTCCCTCGATATACTAAACCGTGCACACGATTACTATTTCGTTCCCTCGATTTGCTAAATCGTGTGTACAATTTACAGGACAAAACAATCCTATTTTAGCAAAAAGAGGGAACGAATTAGTAAATCGTGTGCAAAATGTATAAATGAAGGGAATGAAACAGTAAATCGTGCACACGATTTAGCCTACTATTTTTTTCCTGCATGCCATGTGCGGGGCTCCGTATAAAAACCTTACCAACCCCAAACTTTTGCATTAAGCTAAATTTTAAACTTGACAGCCATGAGCATCATGCAGTTTTATTGTATGAAAAAGAGCATCTTAGACATTTTGTTTGACTGAACAAGTCATACAAATTTAGAGTGACACGAGGGTGGTAGATAATGAATTAATTTTTAATTTACACACAACTGAACAAGTGTTCTGAATCCACATTACACTTTAAGTGACAAACAAACCAAAAATGTATGTCTTGCTGGAAATCTTTCAACTGTAACTTTCTGTGAAATTTCATTCACGTTTATTCAAATATAGCATGTCAAGACTGCATTAGGTTTGGTGCGACTTCTTTTGTATTCCACAGAAAGTGCAGGGTTAGAACAACAAGAGGTTGAGTAAATAATTACACAAATTTCATTTTAAGGTGAAATTCATTTTTGCAGTCATATGACATCTGTTTAAATTCTTTTTCCTCTGTTGTTGGGTAGGGAAGGATGGTTTATACTACAAGATGCAGGGTAATGTCAAGTTGACACTATGTAAAGTTAAGAGTGAGGTTTGATATAATAACCAGTAACTAAAGTGATGAGCGTGGGTCATGCTGAAAGGTCCATCCATCCTGACACCCTGATGTGATTGTGTAAGTTTCTCTCTCATAAATAACATTTGCAAGTTGTGTCCAGCAGATGTGTCACATCCTGTCTATTTGCTACTTACACATGCCAGCCTGTTAAAACTTCTTTGTTTTCCCGTTCCCTAAAATGCTTAGGAACGGGCACATCCTGTATATGAAAAAACGCAGCTCCTGGTCGGAAAGCCGTGGAAATATGCAGAAAAGAGAAGTGGGACAATAGGCCGGCTCTACGGCAGTTCCTAAAGCCTCAATGTTCTGAAGCACTGCTGTTTATTTCACACATTAATCTAATGCAAATACCCAGGCAGGAAAACATGGACTTTTGTGGGATAGGAAACTGGTTTTCCGTCAGTCTCAATAAAATAAAATGAACCGTTAAATTAAAAAGAAGACATGGACCTTTGTGGGACATGGGACATTTTGTGGTTTTTAATAAAATAAAAGAAAAAAAGAAAAGTAGAGAAGAGAAGAGAAGAAAAGATCTGAATCTTCCTTGTTTGCCCCAGTTGTTTTTCTCCAGTTAAACAATGTCATAACTCCCAGGTCATTGACTCTCACAATCAGTCCATAGATTGACGTCTCCTTATTCAATGTCAAGGCCACGGCCACGACAGCACAACCATTGCAAACAGCACGCAGAAGCCCCACATCATCTCTCATTGTTATTTTATTCCCGAACAGTGCAAACACAAGTATAAAAGATCTCGTAAATATGAAATTTACATTCACATAGAACCATCGCAATAAATACATTGCAACCCCAAAAAGAGCACAAATATTACAAATCATCAATAAAATACTCTTTTCGTTTACTCTACAATATATTTAATACGTACAATAATTTTGACCCGTATCAAATATGAAAATATCTAATCGACATGAAAATCTATTCTATGATTTTACTGTGCACACTTTATGCATTATTAAAGTTAATATATCATTAATGTTCATAACAGCAGTAAGTTAGGCCACTGTAGTCAAAATAGATCATATTAAGCCATATCAAATAGAACCATTTAGCTGTTTGGCTACATTTGTTGGATCATAGAATCTGAAATATTCAGTGATACAATAAGCATTTTGGCATTTGGCATTCATAATCATTAAATAAAAAACAAAAATCTACATATATGTAACTCGAATGAACAGCTCCTTACTTTACGTTAATAAATATGTGAAATTCCATATATGGTAAATGAAGCCTAATGCGGCGAAAAATATAATCAGAGAGAGCATTCTGAATACGTAGCTTAACATGAATTAAACGTCAAAAAACAAAAAGGAATAGCCCATTTGCGAGTCGGTATTGAGCCCCACGTGGTTCAATCAGTCCATATGAGAGTAAAGTTCGAAACGGAACCGAATGCACACAAAGTTGCACTATAAAAGCACACAGTTTGATATTATAATAATAATAATAACAGTCACTTCAAGAGCTTGACAAGGCGCCAATGCTACAAAACTCCCAGAAAGCTTTCCCCCACAGCACCACGCATGGACCAGGTAAGCGGATACGCCATCGGATAACAAAAAAATATGTTTCGGTTCATCAAGGCCATTATTCTGGGCTCATGCTGTGCTACTAAAGCATGTCTCGCAACATATCTTCAACACTTTTCACCCTTGGTTTTCTTTTTGCAGTAGGCATGCATTAGAGACACAAATCAGTTATCAAATAGAGCGACGTGACAGAATTACGGCATGCTGAGAGGGACATGCAGAACGGCATGCTTGAAGCCAAACTTCATTGCCTAGGCATCATGGGAAATCTATCAAAGATACAGTAATAGCACATAAAGAAAATCAAAAGATCGTTCTGAAATCTGAAATGAGGCTTGTGAGGCTTTCCAAACCGAGAGCAGGTTTGAGATGTTTGCATGCTCTGAAACAGATGCACTAAAATCCAGATGTTTAACCTAAGATCTAGAGAGCACATGACACATCCAGCACTAAAATATCATGCATGTTCAACCGCGTGGTAAAGATCGTTCCGCAAGCACAGTGAGAGATGCTACTGTTGATAGGAGAATCTGAAAGTGAAGTGCCACTTGGCAAAACCACAGACAAAATATATGTGGAATAAATGTATATTAAGCCATTTGATCACATACTGGAAGCCAATTTGGTTGCTTTTTGTGAATAGTATTATCAGTGACAGCCTCGATTGTGCTGGCTTCTCGATTGTATCGATATTTCATGTCCTTGGCGCTTATTAAACGCAATGGGATCGGTTGTCATGTTATTACTGGAAAGCATTTCCCAGAGGGCAAAGGGCAGCAGCAAGTGCATACAGATGTTTTGTCCAAGCACCAAGTGCATACAAACATCACATACAGGAAAACTGTGCTGATTCAACCCACGCAAAGTTAAACATTTACCCATGTCACAGACTCGACCGACTTTCTGTAAATGATTACAAAACAGGATAGTGTTAGCATTCACTAGTAAATCATTGCAGTCTCTGATTCACTGCGGTTGTTTAGTATTTCTGCCTCTCTCTCTCTCTCTGCAACCGCAGGCGAGTGCCTGAAAACTGAAGAGCTGGGAATAACTTTGCTATCAGGTCTGTAATCCCGTGACGTGTTCTTCATGTAAACAATTTATTCAAAGCAAATCTCAATATGAGGAACCATCTTTTCCTTTGTCTTTGTGGGAAAAACCCAACACGTGTTCTGTCGTCTCAGAAACTGCCCTGACTCAGTCTCGTACAAAATACAGCGCTGTTATAAACGAAATGTTTGGTCCTCACCACTCACGTGTTCAAAATATTCATCGCCGTGGCATCTCTTGACATTTTCAGATGCAAGATAACACATGCACACAGACGCACACTCTCACACACACGCTGGGTATGTGTCTCCTCGGCTGGTGTGAAGCTGCCTTTTGCAGTAGATCGCATGCTCCCGTTTAGGAGACCCTGATATCCTGTTGGTCGGGGAAGACTCATTGAAACACACGCATACGTGCACACGGAAAGACATACATGCTTATTATGTACTTGCGTGAAGGGGGAGAGCCTTTCTCGGTTTGGCACGTTTGAATGTTTCTCTCCTCAGTGCAATGACTGTCTCGTCTCTCCTCGTTTTTCATCTTACTTCCTACCTTGTGCTCGGTTTCCCTCCCTGCCTCTGATTTACTAATGCATCGATTGATCACCATAGAACCAGTCTTCTTGGCGATCACACCTCCATCTCCATGTCGACGGAAACAGAGGGCAGGTACATAATGCTGTTGTTTGGGGTGCTAACGTGCCCTACGATGTGACTTTTCACCCCGTAGCTGCTGACAGCAGGCGCTGATCCCAGTTTGGTCCGGATGCAAGGGCTCGACCCGTGCTCGGGGCTCTTGGGTCGCATGTGCTGCCCACCTTGCACGGTTCGGCCCTCCAGAAAGTAGGTGAGCATTTGACCTTTGCCCTTCACGCTGACCTGGCCACGACACTGAAAGTGATAATAACCAGAGAGTAGGCGGAAGACGTCCTCGGTCACCTGGGATGATGAGGCAAATAATGTCAGATTTGTTTGGAGTAGCATGCTGGTTTATTAAAATGATGGTGTGTTTGTTTTACCTGTATTTTCCCCTGAACGCCAGTGCTGTCCATTCTGCTGGCGACGTTGACTGTGTTTCCCCAGATGTCGTACTGAGGCCTGCGAGCCCCGATTACGCCGGCAACCACTGGACCCACATTGATTCCTGATCAAGGAATCAACAAAAATGATTAAGTAATCAGATTTAACGTCCCTTTATCTGTAATTTTTCCATGCAAAATAGATTCTGTTAAGAAATTTGGGGTTGGTAAGACTTTTTTAATGTACTTCAAGTCTCTTATGCTCACCAAGGCTACATTTATTTGATCAAAAATACAGTAAAAACCGTAATACTGTGAAATATTACATTATTTTTCTTGGACTGGAGGTATCAAAAATCATTTCTACATGCAATATATATATATATATATATATATAAATATATATACACACACACACACAAACTACTAATAAAAAACATTGTGAAATATTATTACAATTTGAAATATCTGTTTTGTAATTTATTCCTGTAATGGTAAAGCTGAATTTCAGCATTTTCTCATGATCCTTCAGAAATCATGCTGATTTGCTGTTTAAGAATCAATTCATATTATTAACAAAGTTGAAAACAGTTTAATATTTTTTAATTATTTTTTGAAAACTGCTTAATATTTCTGTGGAATCCGTCATACTTTTTTAAATAGATGAATAGAAAGTAATAGAAGTAATTATTTGAAATAGAAATCTTCTTGTAAGATTATACATGTCTTTACTCTCACTTTTGATTAATGAAATGCATCCTTGCTAAATTAAAAAATAAATAAATAAAGATTTAATTAAATAAAAACAGACAGTGTGGCAAGAAAAAACTGAAATACTAAATATAAAAATTATTTTTCCTGACCATGTGACCTTGGTGGAGAAAGCTATTACATTTTGTCGTTAGTATATTGTAAAATTCCTTCTCATAACTGCAATTTTATATTTGCAAATGTGACTTGTCAAGCGGCTTAAAAATGTAATTACAGATTGCTCATTTGGGCCAGTTTTACAGAATTGTGCCAGTTCTGTCTGCCCTTCTCATTAAAAATGTTTTTCTGAGCAGCTCCCTGTGCTAAACCTTCAGTTTGCCCCAAAAAAATAAAAATAAAATAAATAATAATAATCTACTCGGCAACTAGAGTCTATGAGTGCTGAAGGGATGGATATTATATTAACAGCAGCATACCACTAATGCTTTAATAGAGTGTTTAAATTCATGACAGAAAGGTTTTGCATTTTGTAAAGAAGTGTGTATGTAGTGTAGCTTGTTCATGCATGTGTGTATAACTGTGTGTATGTAATCTGTTCCTTACAAAGTTACACTCAGGACATCCTACTGGATGCGGGATGTCCGGCACAATGTCCACACTCACTGACGCATTTCCTCCACTTATACAGAAGCACACATACGGCTGACACCTCGCTCTAACAAGGTCACTCACCAACTCGAAGCACAAAGTCATTGTAGGACTGGTAGTTGATCGCATCCAGTACGTTAAACATCTCAATGGCGAAATCAGCCACTGTGCACAGGTGCACAGAAATGGACTTCTTTACCTATTCGGGGAGAACAGAGAGAAAACAGAAAGACTTTATTCATATACTACCACCTCTTGTTGTGAAATGACGATAATAAACAGAGTAATTTTTTGGATGATTTTAGGATCAGAATATGGGAATATTTCAGCCAAAAACACAAAGTTCTGTCATCATTTTACTCACCTGTTTGATGTTTTCGTGAAACACAAAAGAAGATATTCTGAAGAATGTTCACACTGCTCTTATTTGCCAAACAATGTAGCACAGTGACCAGGAGCTGTCAAGCTCCAAAACAGACACAAAAGCACTATAAAAGTAGTTCATTCTACATCCTTCCAAGTTTTCTTAAGTCATTTCATAGCTTTGTGTTCGAAACAGACTGTTATTGTTATTCTCTCAAAATCTTGACCTCCGCTATATGAATATGAGGATGTGCAAATGGGATTTCAGGGTCACTTGCTTTTGGTATATGGAAAAGGGAAGCTGGGACATTCTGAACATCTTCTTTTGTGTTAAATTTAGGAATCCTACAGGTTTAGAGTGAGGGTAAATGAGGGTAAATACATGATTCCACAGAACAAAGAAACGCGCACAGATTCGGAACAACATGAGGGTGAGTAAATGATGACAGAATTTTCATTTTCATGTTAACTATCCCTTTAATTAAGCCGTGGGCTGTGTTTATGTTAGGGTTAGGAGAAAATATCATTAGCTCATTATAAAAATAACTGAAGTCAATGGAAAGTCTCCACTATGACAGAAAAACAAACACACACTTGTGTTTGCATTTGATATTGGTTTTGCTTTGAAAGCAGTGGCAGGTTTGAGTGGTGCCATGACATGATTTTTAAGGCCAAATGCAAATACACCCAAACTGAGATTAGCTTGAAAACACACACACACACACACACACACACACACAAGTTCTCTCTTAATGCTCTCACTTTTCAAGACCTTACAAGCACAATTATACACACACAAACACACACACACACGGTCTTATCTGATTAATTCTTATTGTTTACTTTAAAAATATCTAAACATCCTTAAAATAAATGTACTTGAGAAACAGAATTGTGTAACTTTAGATAAAATAAAATTTGAAGTGTGTGTTTTAACTTTTGTAAACCTCACTAAATCTTGTTAAATTTATTAAATTTAATTCAAACTTTAAACCTAATTCAAGACACACTACCATTCAAAAGGTTTTTTTTTCCAGCAAGGATGCATTAAATTGGTTAAAAGGTACAGTAAAGTAATTTATAATGTTATAAATAAAATAAAATAAAAAATAAATAAATGAAATTTATTTTAATAAATAAAAAAGAACTTTAAGAAGTTCTTTTAATTTCTATTCTGTTTCTTGAGCAGCAAATCAGCAAATTAGAATGATTTTTGAAGGATCTTGTGACACTGAAGACTGGAGTAATGATGCTGAAAATTCAGCTTTGTCATCACAGAAATCACATTTTAAAATATATTAAAATCGAAAACAGTTATTTTAAATTGTAATAATATTTCACAATATTACAGATTTTTTTACTGTATTTTTTATCAAATAAATCCAGCCTCGGTAGACACAAAAGACTTAATAAATAAATAAAAATGACAAATCTTACCGAGCCCAAACTTTAGAAAAGTGCATTCTCTAAAATCGAGCCTTTTTGCTCCTCAAATAATCTTGTTTTAAAGTCATTTAGATCATTTTACTGGAAAATAAGGCAAAAATTCTGATTGAGAAAATGATTAATCTAAATCACATTCAGTGTACCTTGGATTCTGCAGTGGGGACGAGTCCGACCGCAGCCATGTAAGTACTGCCAATCGTTTTGATCTTCTCAATGTCTCTGTAGCATTCCTTATCCATCAGCTACAGACAGAGACAGAGACAGAGAAAGAGAAAGAGACGGTGTGAGAGAGAAATTAATTAAGCCAAGAGTGCGATTAAGGTAACTCAGACACTGAGCCAAAACATACATATCTCGGGCTGGGAGACAATAAATTCTCACCGCATCAAAGTCGGCGATGATCTCGTTTAGCAGCCGGAGGCATTCCACACCCATGTTGTTTCCATCCAGCTCAATGTAGAAGTCATTAAAGTTGGGGATGGAGGCGAACAGGACGCCCACCTGAGAGTAAGACTGATAATACAGGTCCTGAAACAGTGAAAGAGCAGAAAGGAAAGAGCCATGAGACCCTCAGGGGACGATATCACTGATCCAGGCTGAGCTGGAAATATAACAGCGGTTAGAGAAGGTAAGCCTATGGTAATTAGTCACGACACACAACATGCATGAACTGGACAAGTTGACTTTGGTCAAAGCTAAACCTGCTAGCGATATTAAAAGGTAGAGTACACGTCCATCTAAAATCAATGATACAACTGCATCACAGTGGTTTACATAAAATAGGGCTTTTCTTGCTCTTCTGAAATAGAAGGATTTGATTTATTATGTAGACATATTGGCCACGTACGTACACACTGCAAAGTTTTGGGAGTGACAACCGCATTTAAATACAGAAGTGACTCCCTTTAATTATCATTCTATATTATATGTATGGAGTATAGGAGTCACTCCCAAAAGTATGATTTGGACATAACCATAGCAACAATTTGGTGTCTTATGGCTGTAAACAGGTAACATTGCACCAAAAGATTAATATAACTGTGCATTTTTGTTTACCAAACTAATATTAGTGTTTACATGCATGTTTGATTTTAGACGGACTAATTTTTCAATAAAAAAGTAATAATTTGCCTTTTTAAATGACACATAAATGCTTTAGTCTAGCTGAAATCTAGCTGAGGTTAGGCATTTTACACTGCTATTCAAAGGTTTGGGGTCGGTAGGATCTTTGAATGTTTTTGAAAGAAATGTCATTTAATCAAAAATGTGGCAAAATCAATAATATTGTAAAATATTATTACAATCTCAAATAAAATGTAAAACTTCTTTTAAAATTTTTTAATAAAATACAATTTAAAACTGTTTTCCATTTTAATATATTTTAAAATATTATTTATTTCTGTGATGGAAAAGCTGAATTTTCATCAGCCATTTCTCTAGGTTTTTTTTTTTCATTCAGAAATAATTCTAATCAAATGATCATTCTTATTATAATTGTTATAATTCTCATTATTTTCAATGTTAAAAATTGCGCTGTTTGTGCCGCTTATTTTTTCTGGAAACTGTAATACATTTTCAGGATTATTTGATGAAAATAAAGTAAAAAAAAAAATAGAAAAGAAAGAAAGAAAGAAAGAAAGAAAGAAAGAAAGAAAGAAAAATGTAGCAAGCATAAAAATCATAACAAAACGCATAACAGGAGTGTAATCACATATTTGTTGTGTTCACAAGGCTTCACAATGCAGCCCGACAGTAAGATCACAAAGCCAGATGGAGTGGCTGAGGATTTACACTACACACAATCACAATGTTATCTCATTTGCATGATCAAAACACATGCTATCATCAAAGCATCTAAGCTGACCTCTCACCGAATTGGCAGCTGGATCATAACAACATTGCCATAAAGTGGTGACTTTGGGAACTACAACAACTGAGATGTACATTATTAGACAGAATGAATTTAAAACTGACCTGGTTTTTACTTTCTTAATAAATGTATATTGTCGTATTGTGCTTATCTGTGCACATCTTTCTGAAGAAAGTGTGTATTTGTGGTTTTCTGTTTATGAAATGACATAACTACTAAAAATGAAAATTCTGTTATCATTTACTCACCCTCTCCCCTTGTTCCAAACCTGAGTTTCTTTCTTCTATTGAACACAAAAGAAGATATTTTGAAGAATGCTGGTAATCAAGAAGTTGATGGTAGCCAGTGACTTCCATGGCAACCATCAACTTTTTGGTCACCAACATTTTTCAAAATATCTTCTTTTGTGATTCGCAGAAGAAAGTCGTGTGGATTTGGAACGACGTGAGGGTGAGTAAATGATGACAGTATTTTCATTTTTGGCCAATAATATCAAGCCACTTGACTAAATAATTATTGACTCACATCATGATGGATGAATTAAGCCCCACTCCCCACTTCACTTCATCTGAATCTGCTATTTTGCTTAGAAATGTGTCACATTATTGGAAGTTAATTGGTATCTCATGTTGTCTTTAGGGTTATTCTCTGTGATATGTAAATGAAATCTGACCATGTTTCGCGGGTTGGACAGCAGAAAGTGTTGAGCTACATGTGCAGGCAGAAGGTTGAACAGAATCCTTTTATTGTCCAACTTCACTCTCTCCATGTCATCTCTCTCCTCCTCAGCCTGTGGACAAAACACACAAATTGACATGTTAACAATTAACTGCATACTCCTACTACAGTCACTGGAGATTTTAGACTGAGTTTAGTAATAAAAATATTTTGTGTTTACAAAAAAATTATATTCTGATAACAAAACATCCACTAGAGGGCACTGCTGCTGTGGAAATAGCTTGCTATCACAGTGCTGATGATGCTTACTATTTAGTGTTTTCTGTAGAAAATATTCACTATTCTTCAAAAGTTTGGGGACTTTTTATAAAAGAAATTAATATTTTATTCAGCGAGGATTCATTAAGTGACAGTAAAGACATTCATAGTATGTTATAAAAGATTTCTAGTTTTGATAAATGCTTTTCTTTTGAACTTCCTAATAAATTGTGGCACAGTTTCACACAAAAATATTAAGCAGCACAACTGTTTTCAACATTGATAATAATAAGAAATGTTTCTTGAACACCAAATCAGCATATTAGAATGATTTCTGAAGGACCATGTGACACATTATAAAATATAATCAAATAGAAAAAAATTTACATTTAAAATTACTATTATTTCACAGAACTGTTGCTACTGTATTTGTTTAAATAAAAAATTCAGCCTTGGTGAGCAGAAGAGCAGGAAACGACCCCTAACTTTTCAACAGTAGTGTGTGTGTGTGTGTGTGTGTGTGTGTTATTTTGCTGTAATTCTTTTATATTATTATTATAACTATTATTTCCGGTTAAACTCATTTTGGTCAAATTATTCTCACACTTGCCTGTGGGCGATCTGTGGGCATGTGACCTGAATCTGTGGAGTTTTTTTTGCATATTCTGAACTGATTTTTGGGGAACAATTCTGTTAAATGGACTAGGGAATATATTATACAGAGCTGAAATACTTAAGCTCACAAGGAGCAAAAGGATTCACAGAACTGTATGAAATCCATGTCAAGTTTTGCTCACATAGATTCTGTGTTAGCCTGTTCATATGATGCATTCTGAAACCACACACACACACACATAAACAAAAACCCCTAATGTTTGCATATACACACAGGTGCACTCACCTGGGTGGCCCAGAGGTAGTCCAGTCTGAGTTTGAGGTCCAGCTGTCTGCAGTGAAGCACTAGAGCTCCAGAAAACAACAACATTGCCAGAACCGGGTCATAGCCATGTGTGTGAAAGAATCCACCTCTACACACACACACACACACACACACACACATATGACACCCATCAGATAATCAGATAAGAAAGGGATTCAGCCTTTTGATCGTACAAATTTACTTAAACATTTTAAATTAATATTTCAAAAATTTAATTACACATTTGCATGTTCACAGTTTTCTGATGTTGGTTGATGTCATTACATGCAGGTAAACAAAATATTTCATTTTTATTTATGATTACATTATTTTTTACTATCTTTTCATCAACTCACAAACCACAGTTTGGGAAACCTTGAGATAATCAAACAAACATGAACTATAAGCACTCCTATAACTTTTGTGTTTTGCTTGACTCACCCTATGGCCTTCCGATAGCCGCTGGTCTCCATGACGACAGTGTGGAGGATGTTGAGAAGGAGAAGCAGGAGGATCTTGGGTAGTGATGACACACGGAGGTACAGAGCCACAGATAGCGAAGCCATCACACATGATAAAAATATGTACGGAGTGTATTTGCACACCCTGGAGCCCACGCCGGTCCCGTTGACTGTGACAACTGTCACCATGGAGACATTGGAATTCCCCTCCAGTGACCACGGTACACATTCCACCTGTGTAGGTACAGCAACACATTCAAGACAAGAACGTCAGAAAAAAACGAATAAATAAACACATATTTGGAAGTTAAATAAAGGTATTATATATGTACAGTATATATATATATATTAAATATATATTTTTTTATCAGTGTATATTCTATAAGCAACACCCTCAGTCATACAATTGTCACTCTCTTCTACTGTACACACACACTCACCACACACCCCTGGGTCACGGAGTACATCAGCAGCACCAGAAACCCGCACAGAACCGTTCTGATCTGCAGGGTCAGACAGTCAAGAGAGCACTGAGAACACAGACAAAGACAGGAGAGACCAATCAGCAAACCTGAAGAACAAATGCACACAAACAACTAGAGTTTGACATTTCCTGAAAAAAATTACTTCCATGATGCTAGGGTGCTGTGGGTGGTTGCTAGGTGGAGCAACGGTGTTCTGGATGGTCGTTAGGTGGTGCTAGGTTGCTCTGGGTGGTTGTTAAGGTGTTATGTGGCTGTTAGGTTGTACTAGGGTGTCCTGGATGGTTGTTAGGTGGTGCTTGGCTGCTCTGGGTGGTTGTTAAGGTGTTATGTGGCTGTTAGGTTGTACTAGGGTGTCCTGGATGGTTGTTAGGTGGTGCTTGGCTGCTCTGGGTGGTTGTTAAGGTGTTATGTGGCTGTTAGGTTGTACTAGGGTGTCCTGGATGGTTGTTAGGTGGAGCTTGGTTGCTCTGGGTGGTTGTTAAGGTGTTGCTATGTGGCTGCTAGGTGGCACTATGGTCTTCTGGATGGTTGTTAGGTGGTGCTTGGTTGCTCTGGCTGGTTGTTAAGGTGTTGCTATGTGTTAGGTGGTGCTACAGTGTTCTGGGTGGTTTTTAGGTGATGCTATCTTGCTCTAGGTGGTTGTTAAGGTGTTATGTGGCTGTTAGGTGGTGCTAGGGTTTTCTCAATGGTTGTTAGGTGGTGCTTGGCTGCTCTGGGTGGTTGTTGCAGTGTTGCTATGTGTCTGCTAGGTGGTGTTATGGTGTTCTGGATGGTTGTTAGGTGGTGCTGGGTTGCTCTGGGTGATTGTTAGGTGATGGCAGGGTGTTCTGAGTGGTTGCTAGGTGGTGCTAGGGCGTTCTGGGTGGTAGCTAGTTGGTGCCAGAAGGTTATGGATGGTTGCTTGGTGTTGTCATGTGGTTGCTTAGATGTTCTGCTTAGATGTTACTGCAGGTGATGGCAGGCCAATCTAGTAGGTGGTTTCTAAGGTGTTGCTAGTATGGTTTGTAGGAGGTGCTAGGGTGCTCTTGGCGATTGTTAGGTTGATGCTCTGTTTACTGCAAAGTTTCTACAGTGTTGTTCTGGATTGTTGCTAGGTGGTGCTAAGGTGTTCTGGGTGGTTGCTGGAGTGTTGCTATTTTGCTGCTAGGGTGCGCTGAGAAGTTGTTAGGTGATGGCAGGGCTCTCTGGGTGGATACTAGGTGCCACTGTGGTGTTCTGAGTAGTTGCTAGATAGCTGCTTGTTGCTAGGTTATTTGTAGGGTGTTCTGGATGGTTGTTAGGTGGTACTAGGTGGGAGGTTGCTAAGCTATTGTTATGTGGCTGCTGAGTTGTTAGGTGATGGCAGGGCGTTCTGGGTGGTTGCTAGATGGCACTAGGGAGTTATAGGTGGTTACTAGGGTATTTGTAGGGTGTTGAGGATGTTTTTAGGTGGTGCTAGGGTGCTCTGAGTGGTTGCAGGGTGTTGCTAAGGTGTTCTGGATGGTTCTATTCAGAGAAGTTTCAATGTTCTGGATGTTTGCTAGAGTACTCTGGTACCTCTTTTCCACTGGGGCTGGTGCCAGAGCTGGAACCGGTGCTTGGCCGAAGCGTCACGAACAAGCCTAATGGCTCCTTTCAAACTGTGGTCTGTAGTAGAAGCTCTGCTTGGACTTTTTTTTTTTTTGGTCCCCATGAGGAAACAAGCTTATAAATCATACGGAATGATCTTTTTTGAAAATCTAAAAATGCAGAAACTTTTGTATGAGGGGTAGGGTTGGGGTAAGGGGATAGAAAATATAATTTGTACAGTATAAAAATCATTACGTCTATGGAGAGTCCACAAAAAACATGGACACTAGTGTGTGTGCGTGTGTGTGTGTGTGTGTGTGTGTGTGTGTG